TGGGTGGTGTGTGGGTGTCACGCAGGGAGCATGTGGGGTGCATGGGTGTGCGGGGTGCGTGGGTGTGCATGTGCAGGAGGTGCAGGGTGTGCGGGGTGCATGGGTGTGCACGTGCGGGGTGCCCAGCTGGGTGTTCGGGGTGCTGCGGGGTGCACAGCCATCCCCACTCCCCGTGGTCTCTTGCAGCCCGTTTCTGCTTGAGCGTCACCTCCGCGCTGCGGTGCCCCGAGGTTTGGGGTGCAGCCTCCCAGCTCGGGGGGGCACAGCAGTCTGGGGGCAGCGAGCCATTGCCCCAGAGCAGCAGGACCCAGCCCTTGCGTGTCAGCCTGTGGCACCCGGTGGCACAGAAGCCCCACGGACACGCGCTGGGTCCTGGCCTGTGCCTGCGGCTACGAGGAGAGAAGGCATCAGTGTCACCGAAACGGGCAGCGGCACAGAGACAGGAGCATCAGGCATGGGGCCAGCTGGGCTCGGGGATGGAGTGGCACAGGGGCCGCCAGGCTCAGGAGGGACGGCTGTGGGGACAGCTGGGTACCGGGACCTTGGGGTGTGGGCACGGTGTGGCTGGGCTGGCAGCAAGGCCACGGGGTACACGGGGCCGGTGTGGTGGGTGGGATGTGGTGGGTGGGACGTGGCGGCAGACCCATCACGTCCCCGTGTCGGCTGCAGAGGCGACAGTGGGAATGGCTGCTGGGGGCTGCTGAGAGGCACTGAGCCCCCGGCCCCAAAGCCCCATCCGCGGTGCCCAGCTCCACGGCTGCGTGGGAGGAGGGCTCCCTCGGGTGGGAGCAACCCCAGCCTGGGCTGAGCCTGGCTCAGGGCCGTGGGGCGTAGGAGCAGCAGCGAGGTGGGGGCGGGAGCCGCGCTGGGCTCCCCAAACGCGTCCCAGCGAAGCAGGACAGGCCCTAGAGAAGGTGCCTGGGCACGAGGCTGAGGTGCCGTGAGCTCCCGGCACCTTCCCGGGCCCTGGGGTCTGGAGCGGAGCCACTGCCACAGGAGGTGAGCATGGCTGTCCTCAGCCCCATGGCACTGGGACGGGCGGCACCGTGGCCCTGGGGCTCAGCAGCACGTCCCCCCCCCTCCCATGCTGCCACCGGGGCTGCTGCTGGAGGCCCAGCCCTGGCGCATTCCCGGAGGCTGCTGCAGCAGCGCCGTGGCCGGGCTCTCGCCCTCGTGGTGCAGCCCCCAGCGCCTGGATCACCCCCTTCTCCTCCACCCCCGCGCTCGCTGCTCCCAGCTGGGGTGGCAGCTCCCTCCTGAACCCCCCTCGCCCCGCAGCCCCTCGGCTGCTGCTGCCAGCAGGGATGGGGAATGATGGTCCCTATCGGCCGATGAATCCCACCAGGTAACAGCTGTGCACCAGGCACAGCAGCCAACCGTTGTGCAACATTTGCATCTAATTAAGCGTATTCCAATCAGTGCCAATAACGCCACCAAACCCAGACCACTGCTGAGCAGCTCAAGCATGTGCCAGTGGAGGGTTGATGGTCCTGGGGAAAACTGGGGGCTCATTGGGGTGACCATGATGCCTCCTGTGCTGGAGAGGCTGCCCGGGGCAGGGGTGCTCAGCTGGGGCCCCCCAGGACCCTGCGCACCTCTCCTGCCCTCCTCCCCTCCGGTCGTTCTCCCTCGGCCCCTGTTTTTTCCCCAAGGCAACTGCGATGTCCAGGTTCGCCGGCAGCTGCAGACACTGAATGAGGCCTCGTGTGTGTCCACCCCACCTCAGCTCTTGGCACCCAGCACCCGGGAACCCCCGTGCCGCGTGGCCGGGACCCGGGAGCTGCTGTAACTGCCCCGTGCCTCTGCCCCCAGTGCCGGCCTGGCAGCGCCGCCGTGCCCCACTCCGGCCGCAGGTGGTGGCACCGTGCCCCGGCCTGGGGAGAGGCACCGCGCGGCGCTGGTGGCTTTGCCGGGGCCCCAGTGGGGCTGCGGCTGGGTGGATGTCTCTGTCTGGCACAGGCGGCCCCAGCGCAGTCCCCAGCACCCAGCCCGGAGGCTGGTGGGAGCTGGGGCCATCCCCAAACGCAGTCGCTGCCCCCGGGGCAGGCAGCCAGACACGGGCAGCGTGGGCAGAGATGGGCACCGGCAGCGGCTCTGCGGGGTCCTGGCTCGTCCCACTCGTGGCTCTGGTGCCGCTGCAGGAGGAGCTGCAAGAGACAGCGCCAGGGAGGAGGCAGGAATGAGCGTCCCCAAGGACACCCAGTGCTTAGCGTGAGGTGCCGCAGGGCCCGCACCAGCATCACCGCTCCCGAGAGCTGGCGTGGCCCCAGCCCTGCAGCGGCACAGCTCGTGGCAACCCTTTTGCCTGGGTAAGTCAAGTCCTGCAGTGTCTTCGCAGACAGCGAGGGCTCCCAGCCCCTCAGCAGCCCACCCGTCCCGGGAATGGGGCCTGGCCATAGCTTGGCCGGGCGCCCCGGGGCAGGGCACAGCAGAGGGCTTGGCGCTGGGGAGGGACGCGGGCACAGGTGGCGGGGTGGGGTGGCTGCGGTGCCCCGGGGTGGTGGGGCCCCGTGAGCGGGGCGGGATGGGCAGGAGCCCGCGGGGCTGTAGCTGCTGGCACGCTCCCCTGCAGACCACCACAGCTGGCTTCACGGTGCCGCTTGCCAGCCCCGTGGCTGTGGGTTCCCTGCCCTGTGGCCAGACCGTGCCCTGAGCATGTCTGTCCCTCTGGGCTCCCGCTTGGCCCCGGTCCTGTGGGGTGAGCCCGATGCCAGGCCTGGGGCAGTGCACGGGACAGGCCAGCACGGGAGGGGACGTTGGTCACACAGGTCACTGCAGGGCTGGGGACACGAGGGTGCCCGCAGCGCTGCACCAGCTCCAGCGCCGCCTCCTCCTGCAAAGCCGAGCCCAGTATGGCAGCCCTGGGAGAGCCCTGCTCCCTGCAGCGGGGCACCAGCCCTGGGAAGTTGCCCCCCGCCTCAGCCAGGGAGCCCCGGGGCACCGGGGCGATGGGTGCAGGTCTGTCCCGCACCACCCTGCACAGAGCAGCAGCCCCGGGGAGCAGCAGCCCCCCTGAGTGCAGCGGGACATCACCCCTGCCCAG